GCCTCCTCCCCCCAGCGCCGCGGAGGGGGGAGGAGGAAGATGGAGACCCACATCTCGTGCTTGTTCCCCGAGCTGCTGGCCATGATATTCGGCTACCTGGACGTCCGGGATAAGGGGCGCGCGGCGCAGGTGTGCACGGCCTGGCGGGACGCCGCCTACCACAAGTCGGTGTGGCGGGGGGTGGAGGCCAAGCTGCACCTGCGCCGGGCCAACCCGTCGCTGTTCCCCAGCCTGCAGGCCCGGGGCATCCGCCGGGTGCAGATCCTGAGCCTGCGCCGCAGCCTGAGCTACGTGATCCAGGGCATGGCCAACATCGAGAGCCTCAACCTCAGCGGCTGCTACAACCTCACCGACAACGGGCTGGGCCACGCGTTCGTGCAGGAGATCGGCTCTCTGCGCGCTCTAAACCTGAGCCTCTGCAAGCAGATCACCGACAGCAGCCTGGGCCGCATAGCCCAGTACCTCAAGGGCCTGGAGGTGCTGGAGCTGGGGGGTTGCAGCAACATCACCAACACCGGCCTTCTGCTCATCGCCTGGGGTCTACAGCGCCTAAAGAGCCTTAACCTCCGCAGCTGTCGCCACCTCTCGGACGTGGGCATTGGGCACCTGGCCGGCATGACGCGCAGCGCGGCCGAAGGCTGCCTGGGCCTAGAGCAGCTCACACTGCAGGACTGCCAGAAGCTCACGGATCTTTCCCTAAAGCACATCTCCCGAGGCCTGACGGGCCTGAGGCTCCTCAACCTCAGCTTCTGCGGGGGCATCTCGGACGCAGGTCTCCTGCACCTGTCGCACATGGGCAGCCTACGCAGCCTTAACCTGCGCTCCTGCGACAACATCAGTGACACGGGCATCATGCATCTGGCCATGGGCAGCCTGCGCCTCTCGGGGCTGGATGTGTCGTTCTGTGACAAGGTGGGGGACCAGAGTCTGGCTTACATAGCCCAGGGGCTGGACGGCCTCAAGTCCCTCTCTCTCTGCTCCTGCCACATCAGTGATGATGGCATCAACCGCATGGTGCGGCAGATGCACGGGCTGCGCACGCTCAACATTGGACAGTGTGTGCGCATCACGGACAAGGGTCTGGAGCTGATAGCTGAGCACCTGAGCCAGCTCACTGGCATAGACCTATACGGCTGTACCCGAATCACCAAGCGCGGCCTGGAGCGCATCACCCAGCTGCCCTGCCTCAAGGTACTCAACTTGGGACTCTGGCAGATGACGGACAGTGAGAAGGTCAGGTGAGGGCGGCAGCACCAGCTCCCCTTGTCCCGCCATGCCCGTCGTCCCTCACCACCACCGTCCCCTACACGCACGCACACTTATACATAGATCATTGCAGCCCATGAGATGGGGCAGTGACACGCAGCCTCGGCTCATTTTCTCCCTCCTCTAGCGCCCCTCCCCACTGCCAGTCCATTCTCATTGCGTCTGGGGGTCCTCTGCTACCCCTACTCCCCTCTCCTTTTCCCTGCGGATGGAGAGATGGACTCTGCTGCTCAGCCACCCACTCCTCTCTGCAGAGGGATGTAGAAGGACTGATTCAGCTACTGTGTCCCCACTGTGTTGCATTCGGGGGTGGGGGTGGGGAGTGACTAGTCCTTTCACCCTGGGGAGTTGAGGAAAATGTCTGCCTTCACTTAAGCTTTCATTTGAATACTGTGATCTGGTTTTTATTTGAAATGCATAAAAAGCAAACCCAACTACAACGGCCTTTTCACCCTTCTTCCACTTTGTAACTAATCCCGGTCTCTTCTCGTCTCTTCTTTACAGTACTTGCTATTCACACTCGTTTCACTTTTATCTTCTTTCCTTTTTCCTAATTTTTTGAAGAAATTTGAAATCATGGTCCTTTTTGTTTCTGCTGAATATAGTCTATATATTATATATATATATATATATAAATTATATATATATATATGTGTGTGTGTGTGTGTCTGGCTACCTCGTTTTAGTTTATTTTTTTCTCTGAAGCCCTGGAATTCTACAAGAGAGCTATTTTGAGACTGAAACATTTTTGTGCCTAGACTGGAAAGATGCCCATTGGGTTTGTACGTCTTTTTTGTTTTGGCTTCCTCCCAACCTCCATCCATCCAGCGTGTCCCACTTTCACATTCTGGCTATCATTTTCTTTTTCTCCTTGTCCATTGGGATTTGAGAACCCAACGGTGTTTCTAAATCTTGACTTAATTTATAGCACAAATGTGTGGGAGAAATGAGAGTTGAACTGTTTTTTGTGTGTGTGTTTGAGATGCAGATTGTGTCTTGAAAATGATTATTATATATGCAAATTCTGCCCTACCCTCACCCTCTTCCAAGTTTCCCCACAACAAGGTCACACAGTGAGGCTTCCTGTTGGAAGCAGAGGAGCAGAGTTGGCCTACAGAGACCCTGGGGCTGTAATGCGAAGGGAGGAGACTGAAATTCGTGTCTTATTCTCTGTTCTGTTAATAAAATGGGAGTTTGTGGGTTTTAAAAAATTCTGTTTCTAAATGGAGGAATAGATGACTTTATTTTGGTGGGGGTTGGGACTTGTGGCTTTAAAAAATATCGCTTTTGAGTAGGATGTATATTTTTGTTGGATTTTTTTGTTTATTTTTTTAGAAGCCTCCACAGCAACATGCGAGGGACCATGGAGTTAAAGAAACCCAGAGACCTTTATCAATTAATTGTACTGTTTGTGAATTTGTATAAATAATAACAAAGATCCTCTTAAAACGTTTATATTCTTACAGTAAAAGGTTAAACTGATATTTATATAATAAAAGAGGAAATATGAAGTATGTTTTTGAAAAAAACAAAAAAACCCAAAAAACCTTGTATCTGTGAATTATTTTTAAGGCATTGTGTGTTTGGGTACATGCCAAAGTAGGAGGTGCTGTTCGTATGCTCTGAAGTAAAAGGAAGTAAGGAAGAGTTTGGTGCATCCTCTGGTGTGAGGAAGCTCACAGTTAAAAATGTATTCTGTATAAGGGTTACTACTGACATCCAAATGTTTTGTTTCTAGAAATGTGATTAGACTGGAGATTTACATAATTTTTGGTTTTAAGCTGTCTGTCAACAACGTGGAAATTTAAAGAAATTGAACAAAATGAAACTTTTTCAAAAACCAGATTTGTAAGAGTCACAATTTCCCTGAGTGGCCAGTTTTTCTTTGGGTGGAAATGAGATCTAAGGGTAAGGTTGAAAACGTGGGTCAGAGATGTGGAAGTGGGCAAGCAAAATGGGGTTCTTTACCCTTAGAGCGGGCGTGGGGCGGGTGTGAAGGTGGAGGGGACCGAAGCCATTGTTCAGAAAAGTTAAAAGAGCGCTGTCCTGGCCCGCTGCTCGCTCAGTCATGCATACGGAATCTCACAGTGTGAGCGAGGGTCCCCGTGGAAAGGAGGGGGGCAGTGCAACCCCTCTTTTTAACATTCCCCTCCAGGCCTGGCTGTATTTCAGCACTTTCCTGGGGTGGGAAGGCTGGCCAGGAGTTCCCGCACATGTGCATTCTAAGCACTTCCAATGCTGAGGCTGGCCACTCTATCCGCTGCTCAGGGTTCTCTGAATTGGTGGCATATAAATGAATACCAACCAGTCTAGCAAAGAGTTTCCTTTGGTGGACAATAACTAAATAATCTGACACCCTGTGGTTGGGCTGTGGCAACCCATGAGAATAAATGTTCTAACAGTGGAGTAATTCATACTCCTGGTTTCACATAGGTCTGTCTTAGCTGTTTCTGGAATTAACTTTTTTTTTTTTTTTAAAACAAAAAACTACTGATTCCTGCAAGTGCTGATAAGAGTAATATAAAACTTTCCTGGATCAACACCTCTTTCCAGGAAGAGGTCTAGAACCTAGGTTTCTCTTGGGGTAAGATTTTTTTGTAAAATTTCCAAGCTTTCCCTTAAACCTATCACAAAAGCTACATTGTTCCTTTCTGGAGAGCCTTCACAATTGGGTCTAATTGAGCCTGACACTAGATCCATCTTCCCTTTCTTTGGGAAAGGTGTGGATATCTTTCTTCCTACTTAGGTTACTGTGCTTACTGCCTGGAGAAAAAAAAAATGTGTGACCCCTAGTAAGGAATAGGGACTGTGAATTAGGGTCAGCTTTCCAATTTAGCATTTGACACAACTCTGGAAGGTTACACAAGCTAGAGGTTCTTAGCCTCTTGCAAGAGATTTCATGACTGCACAGATTCAGTCAATAAAAATTTGAGCACTTCCCATGTCTTAGGCTCCGTGCTCACATTCATTGTTTTAATACACAAAATACGGCTATAATACACCTATAACCTGAAGCATTTTCTGTTTTGTGTTTTTTATGTTAAAGATTAAATAAAAGCTTGACTAAAGGTTGGTAAAATCATGTTTGAAAGTCAAGATCAGGGTCTAGTGTCCTTATCCTGAACTAGGGATATTTAATGTATCTGGATCTTCTCTGGAAAAGATGAATAAACCACTTACTTTTGTCAATGAAGGTCAGTTGCTTCTCTTCAGCCTTTCTGGATAGAAATTAACGTGTTGAGAACCCATCTGTGCTTGCCATAGTACTAGTAAATTTTAATCCTCAAAGCAACCTGCTGAAGTAGGTGTCCCTGTTTTTCAGATAAAGCATAATACCTGCCTTAACTACCCACCAGTAAGTGAGGGAGGCAGGACTTAAGCCAGATCCACTTCTAAGGTCCAGCTCCCTTCTGCTCTATGAGAAAGAAGCTTTATTTATTGACCATACCTTGGTCTCCAGTAAGGGGATCCTCACAGAAGTGAGTAGTACGGGCAGGCCCGGTGGCGCACTGCTACAGTGCGCTGCTTGGGAAGCATGGCGGCGCTCCCGCCGAGGGTTCGGATCCCACGTGCAGACCGGCAGCTCACTGGCTGAGCGAGGAGCAGGGGCAACACCAAAGGGTTGCGATCCCGTTGCCAGTCCCGGTCCGGTACGGGCGCGACACTGAGGGTTGCGGTCTGTTGCCGGTCACGAAAAACGACAAAAAGACAAAAAAAAAAAAAAAAAAAGAAGTGAGTGGTAGCTGTTGGAACACAGTAGGTGCTACTTCAAAAGGAAAAAGGGTGGATTCTTGGTATAAATGATCAATCTCCACCGTACCTACAAGAATGGAAGAAATGCTTTTAAAGGACAGAAGCACTGAGGAAAATGAGTTACCATATGATTTGTGGGTGTTACAAAAGTTAAAAGGCACTTCAGGGCAATTTTTAGAATAACAGAAAACCTGGTTCAGGTATTTATTGAAACTTAAGAGCTGAAAAAACAAAATATAAACAGTGTAAATTTTATCATCTAGAAGTAATAAATCTCAGTAGAAACTGGGTAGTAGTCAAGAAAGGGCTTCATATATGTTCTTTTCTAAGTCTCATCGGGTAGTAGCCCTGAATGTCTGTACTAAAAAAGATACCTGTAGGCTGGCCCGGTGGCGCACTGCTATAGTGCGCCGCTTGGGAGCGCGGCGGCGCTCCCACGGAGGGTTCGGATCCCACATACAGACCGGCCGCTCACTGGCTGAGTGAGGTGCGGGCGCAACACCGAGGGTTGCGATCCCGTTGCCGGTTCCGGTCCGGTACGGGCGCGACACTGAGGGTTGCGATCCGTTGCCGGTCACGAAAAATGACAAAAAGGAAAAAAAAAAAGATACCTGTAAATGCGACTGTGGGGTTCAGATAACTCCCGCAGCCCCCTAAGGGCCATGACAGGCCTCTAGGTACAAGTGCTGGTGGTGTTGCACAGTTCTCCCTGCCATGGGCTCCTTCCTGCTGACTTCCTCGGTCAGATACCTGGTTTATTCCACATTTGGCAACAGTGACAAGGGTGCTGGCCTAACTACATTTACTAAAAGTAAAGGCCAGTACATCCTTAATAGTTAAAATTCAAAGTGATCACAGTCTTACACGATTCAAACCAACAACAAAGATCTGAAAAAGTAAACATTCCTTTTACTGTAGTTTCTTTTTAAAGGTGAAAACTTTTTCTTAAATAAGGACATCTGATCTGCAAGTTGAAGCATGGCCTATTCCCCAAATCCTGGTGCTTTCCTGCAGTGGCTACTAGATAGAGCCTCATCTCATCTCAGAAGATAAGTAACACGTTTCACTTTTGACTTAGAGAATTTGAACTCAAGTTTTCAAAGGGGAAAGTGTAGTGGCCCCCAGAGACCACTGTGTTTGTTTCTAAAGAATAAGAACCTCTTGATTAAAAGATCAGATTTGTAAAACAAAACCGAGACCTCATGCAGCTTCTGACAACTGTCCCTTCCCAGTCCTGTGAAAGGGAGAGCCCCTGGCCTCTGATCTTTGCTCTGCTCTGCTGTGGAAAAGGAGGGACTACAGAAGTCATCCAGTGGTCGCTTCTCTGTTCTCTTTCTTTCCTGCATCAAACATCCCCCCTCTTAAAAGTTAATTCTATCCCTTTAGTAGAGGGCAAGACCTAAATTTTGTGTCATTACGAACCCCCAAGGAGTAAGAGGAGTGAGGCTTTTTGATGAAATGAAGGGGATCACGAGTAAAGCGCAGGATTAGAAATTAGAAAGCTGTGTTCAAACCTAAGCGTAGGCTTGGGCTACATATTTCTCTCCTCTTTGTCAATGTACTTGTCAAATATCAGGTAGCAAGCTAAATTTTTAAAAAAGTGAACGTTGTAAACAGATGAGACATTCATACTTAGATCAGCACCAACTACACATACTAATAATTTATAACTTACCTAAGGTAAGTGCACATCTGGAGTAAGAGCATATATCCTCAGCTCTGGGATGGAAACGGGTATTTCTAGACAATCGGTAAATCAGTTTCAGTCTTTCCCTCTTTTCCAGGGATTGCTCTGATTTTGCCTGGTGGAGTTGCCTTTTCCAACCCAGAACATTTGGTACTGTGTAAAGCCACCCTTCCACTTGAGATGCGAGAGGAAGTAGGCTTGAGATCTTAACTGTGGACACTAGACAGGGCTATGTGACATCCCCATCAATAGAACAAGAGACGTGGAATCCCCTGCCTGCTGTTTGTTAACCCAGAAAAACATACATATTTCCTGAAGACTTAAGTTTTTATCATCTCATTACTACTTTGTTTAAGGGAAAATGCCTCATATATTTAGAAAAAACTTACAAGGATACTTGTATTTGTGACAGTGGAAAGTAGTGAGTCTCAATTACAAAGAAGAAAATTAGGTCTGCAGCAGCAGCAAAAACCCAGGTGAGACAGTGTTAGGAATGTGACTGTGATCAGCTGGAAGAACTTAGTCATAACATAGTTAGTGTTCATGTTCTCTGTCTCAAAATTTTTGTTTTCCCAAATCTGACAGATGTGATACATTTAATTTTATAAATGGGGGAAGAGTCTTGATAAGGTCGAAAATATTTTGCCTAGGTGATATGAGGTATCAATCCCAGGCCAGGGCTGCTGCAGACTTTAATGAGCGCGTCAGAAGCAGGTCAACATGCAGTAGCTCTGAGGCACTGCAGGGCACCACCCCGGCCCCTCTGCAGAAAGTGCTACGCTAGAGTGTATTGCTTTACTGGGAGTTTTTTTAAAAAGCCAAAATGCTAAACGTTATTATTACTATTTAAATGCATTACATTATGCAAACTTAGATATATTTTGCAAGCTTTATATATAGGGTTATTCTAGAAGCCGAAAAACCAGTGCAGGTTGGCAAATGGTCTGTAAGGTACTGAACTGGCTAGTACCATCCAGGCTGTTGCCGTCAGAGGACTTCAACCAATTTCCAAAACACTGCTGGAGTACAAATGCTGGAAGTCTATGCTTTTGATAGCCTCACAGCCAAGACTACACATACATTTAACGTACTACAAGTGTCTGCCCCACAATCCTTTTATAAAATGGGTAAAGTAGGGGAGAAAGTAAGGTTAGGGTTGATTTCACAGATGCTCTAGTTACAAATCCCTCTTGTCCAGAAAGAGTCAAAGGGTCTAATTTGTTAATGCTAGGCACTCTCTTGTGCTTATTACTCCTCCACTTACGTAATCCACACTCCAGAGGGACCAGGCCTACCACACGGCTGGCCATGAGTACTACTTGAATCATGGATCCAAGAGACTGGAATTGGGCTGTGGGAAAATAATTCAAGACCACATTAATTTTTCATAAATAGTGTGAATT